GTAATATTAATACTAACTGTAATATTAATACTAACTGTAATATTAATACTTTAACTCTAATATTAATACTAACTGTAATATTAATACTTTAACTGTAATATTAATACTTTTACTGGAGTATTACTCCCCACTGAAATCTGTGTTAAATAATAATTATTAGTTTGATTATTATTTATTTGTGTTTTAGGAATCTGACATTCAGGGTTAGCCGACCCGCCACCTCCTGCCCGCCCTCCGCGCTCTGATCCCCGGCTGTCCTGACCCTGACTGACCGGCCGAGGCACCCTCTCCCCGGCTGTGCAGCGTCACCGCGGCCCGCTGACAAGGTCAAACCGAGGAGCGAAGATGATTTTATTTGTGCAGACACAGAGTAACACACAGGATGTAACTGTGCTCCCAGTAAACTGCTGAACAACATACGGGCTGTTATTACTGAGCTCACAGCTCTGGAATGTTTCACCAAACTACATTAAAAAATGTGTCACTTTAAGTCAAAAGTGCGCGTCTTCAAACCCACAGCCGGTGTAAGACTGTCCCATCATCTGTATGAGAAACTCTTCAATTCGGCAGGAATTGAAGACATCATGCAGCTCTTATTTGAGGTTTAAAAACATTTAAAAATGCAACTCTTCTTGTAAAATCTGGCTCTATTTGTGATGTGTCTCTCCCAGCACAAAGCACGGAGGGCGGTAGAGAGCAGGTTGGATCGGCTCTTCAGTCCTCAGTTTGCAGAAATAAAGTGTTGTTTGGTGACTGTTTATGTGCCGAAATGTGCCAAACACCAGACCGGATCGTGAGAGTGTTGATTTATGTTCTACATACCAAATTGTGCCGCCGTGTTTAATTTTAGGTTTTTCTAAATGGAGTTTGGAACTGCGATGTGAGCACAGAAAGCAGCGGGCCGTCAGGCTCCAGCTGCCCCGGTAATGGCGTCCGTCCTCCGGCAGGAGTCACCACGTAGCTTCCGCTGGCAAGGAGCTCGAGAGCTAACGTTAACCTTTTTTGGTTAAATGTGAAAACTGAGTTAAAGTCAGAAAATATTAATAAATAAAAATAGATGTGCATCATTCAAACCAACGGCTGTCTTTGACACGTGTATAATCGCTTAAATTTCTGCTTAAATGATTAAACTCGTCGACATCTGTGTCTCTGCTTGTACAAATACAGATTAAAAATTATTAATAATCGTCTGCTGTGGATCAATAAACTGTTAAACGGATGAATCTGGTGATTTCGGGGCTGAGCGGGCTGGATGACTCGCTGCTGCCCCAGAAGCCTTCACTGCGAAGCCGCCATGAATGTTCTGGTGACTCGGGGACAAACGACCAGAAAACCCCAGAAATCTGTTTAAAATCCCAACCAACTACTTACCTTCAGGTTCAGACAGAAACCCGGGTTATTACTGCACACCACTGTGGTCGTTTGGATTATTTCGGGACTTTCAAAGTGTGTTTTTTTCAGCCGTAAACCCCGGGGAGTCAGGTCGAAACGAATCCGACAAAAGGAGCGTCTAGTCCGGTATGAAACTCCGCCCAGCGCCGCAGGGGGAGGAACTCCGGGGGAAAACATGAGGACAAAGGCGGAGGATGAAACCAGAGACAGCGGCTAAAACAGCAGCCAAACCCGCTTCAAAACTACTTTACATGAGGAGTTATCTGTTTATTTCATGTATTTCATACTCAGGCAGTATTTACAACAGTCCACCCTCCAGATGCTGAACCGGCGGGGAGACAGACTGCTGGGGCCCGGGGACCCGACGGCCAGCCGCCGACAGAGAGATGCAGCCGGGGGGACGCGGAGGAGGGCGGCTGTCCGGCTGCTGCAGGCTCCGGGACGAAGGAAGAGTCATCAGTGTGCCGGCTGCTGAGGGCTCCTCCCCGGCCGGTCGCGGTGCTCATCAGCGGCTCGGAGGCGGCGGTAACCCGCATCCACATGGCATCCTGACCGCTGACAGCTCACCGTCTGCCCGGTGTGATCTCCCCGACTCACCGGTCCCCTCCCACCGAGAGCACCGAGGGCCAATCACTGATAATCAATACATCATCTGATCGATACACCTGAAACTGT